ATCAAGAACTCAGCCAACTGGGGTTCCTACAAGTTCGATGCTGGAAATGTCACGTTTCAACACCAAGGCCAGACTGTGGGAGTAATTAATATCGCAAAGGGCAAGGTTGGATGGCTTTCGACCATAAAAAGAAATGCGAATGTGAGTTTGGATTCAAGTGCAATAACTGGTTCAAATCTTGGAAACGAATTGAGCAACGGGGTGTTGACGCTCAACAGTGTAGGAAGATTGAATGGAAAAGTTGCAATTATGTTCATCATGAAGAAGAAGAAGGCCACCAACATGAACTGCACCATAGCTTTTGATGTAGCAGCTAAGACCCTCAAATCTTTACACTGCAAGTGAAGATAGACTAGTTATTTTGTAGACTGTACCTTTGCGATAGGCCACATCTCTATAATGATGTGGATTTTGGATTGATGAATACTTGTTCTTGGATTTTTTTCTCCTCATTGATGTTATTTGTTTCCATAGCTATGAGTGACACTTGTATTTATTGTAGAATTATAATGCTACTTTTACTTTTTTTAATCGCTAAGTGTTTTTCTTTTCACCGGGATTGTGCTTTCTTTTGATTTTGACAAATTAATCGGTTTGCAACTACCTTTATGTTCATCAAATGGTTTAAATCATGCATCTTGTTTATCGAATGAGGCCAATATTTGCAGAAATGGGTTAGGATCAATATCTTCAACTGGAGGAGCAGGATTAGGGGTCTACGTTTTCCTTTGTTCTCAAACCCCATATATTTTATTGAAGAGAAATGAGCATATGCGAGATACAGAACAAACAAAAAAACATAAATCAAACGAACAAAACATGTGTATGGTGAAGATTGGGCTAGGAATTAGTCACCTGAGGCATCTTTTGTGAAACCTCCATTTGGCTTGAAATGAAAATTAAAGCTCAACTTAGAAGCTTATACAGAAAGCATCTCTCTTTCATCAATGTTCAATAATATGTAAAAGAAAGTTAAAAGAGAAAAGGTGGCCTCTGATTAAAGTAAATAAAGAAATAACAGTATATTTCTACCACAAATTAATAGAATCATGAACTAGTGTTGAATTGCCTTTGTTGACAAATCAAATGAACATTGTGGGAGCAAATTTCCTCACGAGAATATTCGATTGGAAAGATTCCATTTTCTTCTTCGCCGCCTCTTTCTCCCTGCAAAATAGAACCAATAAGAGGACCACACCCGGGGGGTGTTGGCCAAAGGCCCTCCGATGCCTATATTAGTTTAAGAGTTTGTAAGAAAAACACTAGCTAATTAGGGCACAGAGATGTGTTTATGATGTAAACTGGGCGGCCAGAGCCTTATGTAAAAGAGAGAGAGAGAAAAGGTGGCTAATGTTTGAGAGGAATTTTCTGCAGAGTTTCAGTAGAGATTTTAGACGTACCTCAACCCTTGTGTGTGGCTATCTTTTTATAGTGGTCTTGGAGGCTAGGGTTTCAAAAGAATAATTCCGTAGATGGAAGAGAATTATTCCTCCCCTATTTGGAATTGATTTGATTAATTAGGGATTTGATTTATTAGGGTAAATCAAATCCCTAATTGTGGTAGGTATCAAATCAATTCCTAATTTGATTAGGTAACTCCTTATTTAATTGGGAATTGTGGTAGGAATCAAATCAATTCTCTATTTAATTAGGTAACCTTCAATTTAATTGGGTAACTCCCAATTAAATTGAGTAACTCCCAATTAGGTTGAGTAATTCCCAATTAGGTCAAATAATCCCTAAATGGAAGGAATCATTTGACCTAGGGTTTTGATTTAGTTCGGTTCCCACAAATGCCCCCTAGCTTCTGCATGGCGCGTGGTGGCATGTAGGAGATGTGAATCAACTATTGGGCTGTCCAACTGTAATTGGGCTTCCCTCTGTGACTTGGGCTCTTTCTGTGACTTGGCATGTAGGAGATGTGAATCAACTATTGGGCTGTCTAGCTGTAATTGGGCTTTCTTCTGTGACTTGGGCTCCTTTTGTAGATTGGGTTCCCAAATGGAGTGAGCTTTTTACTGTTCTTGGAGTTTGGTTCCCAATAGGAATGGGCTTGTGATTCCTTCTTGACCTAGGATACCCAACCTGTGTAAATGCAGGGCTTCTCTTCACTCTTCTTCACATCGCAAACTTAACTTCTCTACTTTCTAGCTTGAGAGAGATCTTGGAGAATTTGTACTGCTTGTTGAAGAGAGAAGTCGCCGTGCATCCCAAGGTAAGTCGAGCACGTATATTTCTTTTTCTTTGCGTTTTCTTCTTTTTTGCAGCGAAGGCCAGTTGGGGGAAGTTCGGCTAGTTGTAATCATGACATGCGACGGTTGGCAGTGTGCGGTAGCTGTGGTGGAGTAGGTGTGCACAGATGGACCATCTGCTGCCTATCACTGTAGGTATGGGTTGGAGCATGCTGGGCCTCGGGCGTTGCAATCCCCATCAGAGATGGGGAGAAAGTTGGTGGTTTGCCCCTGCCCAGGATGTTGAGATATGGAAGCATAATGGTCCAGACTTGGATGATCTGCTGGCTGGACATGAAGAGTGTTCTGCTGGACTCCCCTTAAAAAAGGAAGGCTGATGTCAAGTCTTCAAGAAATGAAGTTGCGACTTTGCTGGCGAAAGATGAGTCCCTGTTGGGGAAAAAACCAAGGATCCCTTTTGCTAAGAAGACTTAACTAAGAGTTATTCCATCATCATCTGCCAGGGTTAAACATCTCGTTGGTGCAGATAGCAAGAAGGTTGGTGGTATAGGAGGTGTTCGGGGTGTTCTACCCGAGCCTCATGCTGACAAGCTTGAAAACTATGATCTGCTTCGTGGAACAGCTCGTGCCCAATCTCGTTCTACTGAGCGTCAAAGAGATGCAAATATTCCTCTTCGAAGTTCGAGTTGTCTGCATCAGTTAAAGGATGAAGATCGAAGCGGGAAGTGCTCATGATCCAGCTGTTGAGTCATGAGCAATCAAGCGTGAAGTTGATTCAGCATCATTGACTCATTTGGAGGTGAGGTTGGTGGAGGCTAAGAAGACAAGAATGTTATCTGCCCGGGCGAAGGGATCTTTAGCGTTGGCAGTTGATCCCAAGGTGAACAAGTCCAGCCCTGTAGAGGATGCATGTGTGTCTGACCTGCTCAAGATGAACTTTCTATTAAACCTGTCCTCCTGTGCTGAGTTGGTCGATCACATCCATCAGGCCCACGATCTTGGCACCTTCTCGAATCT